CCTTTGTTTCAGTTTTTTTTTTTTATTATTTCCACAGTCCAGACGTGCAAGGCATCCAAGTGTAATGTGCTGAGAAATAATTAGCACGATAACACGGTGAAAAGGGAAGACACTTCTTGAGGAAATCAACTGTTAAGGAACATCTGAGACCACAACAAGCTGTGCCTCAACATATGCTCCTCCATGAACAAGCTTTGGAGAGAAGAATGGGCTATTTTTACACCACATTCAACTTTATAAGGAGTTGTTGCATTGCCTTGTTGATTGTCTTGGAAAAACTTTACCATTGCTGTTAGTACAATCACTCACTTGAATCTATTGCCTCTAAAAACAAGTATTGTCACTTCAAAACTTCAGATCAATCAATAAGAAATACTACTACAGCTACTTCATACTCCATATTGATACTACGACTGTTACTACTCCTACCACCAGGACTGTAGCTGTCGCGGTTATGTGATTCATACTGTTATTCCAAGTATTGCACCAACAAATAAAAATAAAACGCACTTACAAGCTCTATTGCGGTGAATAATTAGGATGATCGTAATCCGTAACTCTTGAAGTGAGGAATAACTTTGGACCGCCGCGAAATTGTCAAAAATGTAAAAACAGGATGAGCTCATTTTAAAGACCATCAAAATGAGGCACAGCACCTTTAATTAAAAAAAAAATACTCCAGTTTTTAATACAATCCCTGCTATAGTTTTTATTGAGTATTTAAATGTCTTTTTCATTAAAAAATATAATTACAATTCACTAGTATTACCACTGATCATAATATTTCTCCCTCCATGAAGTACATATACGCAAAATAAGGTTTCTGCTTGAATAAAAATACCCAATTTGCCCGAGCACTGAATTAAAACTCCACATATCTCCCTGGAATATTGAAGAAGGCACATATATAGAAAGTTATTTTAATAAAACAACCCCATTAGTCCTGTCACAAATCCTGACTGCAGTAGCCTTCGCAGTACTGTCACCCCAGCATCTTTTACAGTGCCAACCAAAGATAGGCTAGGGCGCTATTAAATCTGACACCTGTCACACAAAACCGGTTATTTCTGGTTAGCAGCCTTCTTCCAGAGTTCCCACTATTTCAAAATGGAGCCCCGCGTTGGCCTACATCCACTTACTCTTCACAACACATTGATTCAGCTGATAAGATTCACCATTATGGAGAAATTTACAGCCAATTACTGCAATCTGTGTACAGTGGATCGGACCTCTGGCCATGTGCTGTCTCGCTACCTGCTGACGTCTGGATTGTATGCAGTAATAAGAATAACAGTCATGTCGGAGAAAGTTTTAAAGGTGCATTATGGAATTTTTCTGGAGGGTATTTCACCTGCTCGTCTTCTTGGAGAGTTCATGGCCGTTCGAATATTCCACTCTCCTACTGGTGTTACAATAACTAGAATTTATGTAACAATATCGTGAAAAACTTTCTGTGTTACTAGGGGTGTGCAAAAAAATCTAAATATCAATATATCGTATCGTTTAATGTGATAATACAGTATCATTCACTAGCTAGGACCACGCCAACAACAACATAGTGCGAAAAAGTTTATTGATAATGTACGAAGCGGGGCAGAGATGGCTGGGTTGAGACTATGGGTGGGGGCTCCGTCTCAATCTTCAATTGGCCCATCTGGAACGGGACCCCTCCTTGTACGGGTCTTATGACTGAAAGAGGATAAGAGGATGGGAGGGTGGGGTCGAGTTCGCCGAGACAAACAGGTAGGATTGGAAAGGCTGCTACATATAGGCTTCTGGGAAATTAGAGGCGTGGTCGAGGTGAGTTGTGGTTCGCCGGTGAGAGGAGAGGGCGGCTGAGGCGTGGTCCTGCTCTTGAATCTCAGTTAATCATTAACTACATATATCTGAGGCTGCTGTATCGATATATCGCCAAGGATAGTTTTGGTAGTCCAGTGAGGTTCATTTGGCAGAGTTTGTTTTTCACACCTGACAGTTTCGACTGCTCACTAGCGGTCTTCCTCAGAGTGTCAGGGTGGTCACGTGATGTTGCTGTGACGTGTCCGGTCAGCTGATTTAAACAGGTTTTGGCGCTGTCTTCCTACCAGTGGAGGCAGGACGACAGCGCCATCTGCAGTCCAATTTCCTCAGGACAATATCCGAGGTGTGTGAGAGTAAAAAAGCCCCTTCGTCCCGGTTTATAGTCTCGTGGTTACGTTTCCATATTTCAATTGCCTCTTTAATGCAGTGACAGTGTTTGTTTTCCTCTATCCCAATGATGTTTGCTCCATCCCAGTCCATAATGTGGTTCTCTCTTTTACCTACTGGGATACTGTCCTGAGGAAGTCGTACTACAGATGGCGCTGTCGTACTGCCTCCACCGGTAGAAAAACAGCGCCAAAACCTGTATAAATCAGCTGACTAGACACATCATAGTAACACCACGTGACCACTCTGAGGAAGATCGCTAGTGAGCAGTCGAAACTGTCAAGTATGAAAACAAACTCTTGGTCTGAAACAAAGAACCTAATGACATACAGTATTTTTGGTATATTTTACTGAATTATTTTGTTACAACACTACAGTTTTGTTGCTTGTTTAGTGGAACGAAACTCATTTATGCATCACATTTGACATTTTCACTGTTTTGATGATTAAAATATTTGTGTTTCATATTCACTTTGCGCAAGAAGCGGTTTAACAAAGACTTTTCGTATCACAGCATGATTTAGCCTTTATTTTTTATCGAACCGTATCGAATCAATTTGAAATATATCATATCAAACCGAAAGTGCACTGTATCGAGATATGTATCGTATTGCGGCCTGTGTATCGTATCAGCAACTTCTTAATGATACCCAGTCCTGTGTTACTGTGTCACCTCTCCACTGATCTGACCTATAACATGGCCAAGTGGTGTTACCTGCTTCTAGTTTAAAAATCTTTAATACATCATTTCAAAATAGTACGCACCGTTTTTGTTACTACAGTATACTTTGGGAACTTCTGGTTACACATTTAGCTGTATTCGGAATAGCCAGTTCACACTTTGACCTTATTCTAATTACAACAGATTTCTATTTGAAAATGTCAGGGATTTGTCACTTCTGTATGAATCCACGCATTCACTGGATTCACACTAAGCCTCTGCCCAGCGTGTGATTACACCCAGCAAATAGACTGCACCATGTACATCGCACTATTGCCATTTGCCCTAACTCCACGCTATAGTCCGCATATAAACTAGGCATCATGTCCTTTCAGCGTTTTGACAGCCGCAGTTCACATGCTTAGCCTTTATATTTGTGCAGCCATGTTCCTCTACCAGATTCAGCTGCACTGCCAAGGGAAAAAAAAAAAAAAAAAAAGAGTATTGTGGTTCTATGCTGTTTACTTTCACTTATTTCTATTCTTGAATGTATATTTATTCTTGTCCACATATATTTGAGGACTGTTGTGTGTTATTTTTCCTTTTCCTAATCTGTTTTAAGACACAAAAAGGTGCTCAGAAAGATACCTTTAACCCTATTTACAGTGCAAATGTTCTGGTCTTAGTGAGGTAGACACTAACAGCAATGTGTGGGTAATACAAGACTAAAGATATGCACTGTGGCTCAAACTGTTGTTGTGTCCTTGAGTTAGACGTTTCACCCAGTTTGGCTCCAGTGTAGTATAGTATGAGTGTTTGTAGGACACTGGATGCCCATTTGTATTGTCCTGACCAAAAAACTAAACAACAACAACAACAAAAATCAATCAGCCAATTAAAATACAGGATAGTGTTTCCAGAGGATGTATCAGATCAAGCTGCAAGTTGTGTGAGTAAATAGAGAGTAGTAGTAGTGTGAGCAAATAGAGAGAGAAAAGTGAGTCAAATGTGTGATAAATGGGTCATTGTTCTCCCTATGCTGGGATTTGCTTATAATGGGAAATGCAGAAGATGAATGAATCCACTACCAGTAAAAAGTAAAAAGGATTCTCATTCATGTTTTATTTCTTTATCTTTAGTACGTTTTACATTGTAGATACATTCAAGATGTACGGAATTATGAAGTAAAGAATAAATTAAGGCCCCGTCCACACTAATACGACTGAAAACGGCTCCAGAGACGGAATGAGCTCCCACAAATTCATCTGAGTACGGATCTAATCTGACGCCTGAAAACACTGATACGCTGATTTAGGTCTATGTATCTCAAAGTAGCTAATTCACTGCCAAAACACTAGTCGGGTAGTATATATTCATACATACGGTCTATGTGTATGACCTGCAGACGTATAATCTCTGAAACGTTTCACATCAATCATCTCCAACGCGACAGAAACACAGAACAGACTCACCATCAGCAGAACACTCCTCTGTCACAGAAAGAACACATATAATCCACTGAGTTGTGTTCTTTAGTCTGAAGGAAGCTGAACTGCATCAGCGCACAATAGCGAGCTGTTTTGAGTGCTTAGTTTATGCAAATTAGCCATGCGGTTTTAAGTTTTGTTTCTGTAAAACGTAAACACATATGCTCAAAGCTGTGTGGATAAGGAAGGATTGCGGACACAGAAACGACGGTGATACGCTGATTCGTTTCAGTGTGAACGGGGTCTAAGATTCCTCAAAGCACACATCCTTTACGCTGCAAATGCTTGGCTTTCTCTCAGTGAGCTTCATGATGAAGTCTCCTGAAATGGTTTTCATAGATGTGATTTGTCAGGATCAGGGAATGCCAATAGTGCAAAGCAGTGATTAAAGCAAAGGGTCGTTACTTAGAATAATGTTGAGGTATTTCACACTTTTTCTTTACAACATTCCTTACTGTATGTGTTCGTTCATTCAGTGAGAAGCTACAGTACAAAGAATCATTAACACTGCGATAAAACATGAAATGAAACAGAAACTTTTCACTGGTAGAAAAACAGTTCATTTGATTTCATTCCATTTTATCAAGTGACATTGTGATTTCCTGCTGAACTGTGATTTCCTGAACCTCTCTGATCTTTCCCTGATTTGTGTTGTCCTCCCACAGCTCTTGAACTCCTGGGACCGGCTGCTTGAGTGCTGAAAGGTAAGACTCTTATTATCAAATCATTGCTGTGTCAAGCTCCCCATACACTCGCTGACAAAGATGGGTGGTGGCATTTCCTGCTAGCTTTCCATTTGGGATTGTGCTAACGCCGGCTGCAGCACAAGCCAGTCTCTGAGGGTTGAGAGCCGAAGGAACTCTTGCACTTTTCTCCCCCACTGTTTAATTAGCATGGCCTGGCAGACTGGCGGAGCTGCTTTAGCAATCACGAATCCTGCCCAGCCAATAAGAAGTGGTGTTCAAGCACGTCTGACAGAGATAAATGGCGTGCTACGGCATCTCGGCTTCAGCTCGCCGTCCCCAATGCAATAGTGCCGTGTGCAGAGAACAGAGGCGCACATCTAAGTGAGCATTTAGGTCATTCAATAACAGTAGAAATCTACACAGTTGTCCTTTCTCGTGTGGAGGCGGTGGCTTTGTCAGTTTTGGTTCAAGTGTCTGATCAGCCAGAACATTATGACCACCTCTCCATTTACAAACAGAGACATTTGATTCCAATGTTTTGCTTCATTGTTTCTTTCTTGAACTGCAGACCAAGAAATACTACTACTACTTCTACCACCACCTACTACATATTACCACTACTACTACAACTATTATTACGACCACGACAACTACCACCTACTACTACTACTACTGCCTACAACCTACTACAACTTGCTACTATGTACTACAACCTCCTACTACCTATTACTACCACCACTACCACCTACTACTACTACTACTACTACTACCACCACACCTACAGCCTACTACCACGACTACTAGTAAGTAAGTAAGAAAGTACCTACTATGACTTGCTGCTACTATTACTACTACTACTACCACCACCACACTACAACTCCCAACTACTACTACTGCTCCTACTGCTACTACCTATTACTACTACCACCACAACACCACTGCTACTACCATTACAACTACTACTACTACTATACTACTACTACTACTACTACCCACTACTTACTACCTGGTACTGCATCCTACTACAACCTGTTACATCCTACTACTACCACTACTACCACTACTACTACCACTACTACTACCACTACACTACTACTACTACGACTACTACTACCACTACTACTACCACTACTACTACCACTACACTACTACTACACTACCACTACGACTACTACTACTACTACTACTACTACTACTACACTACTACTACTACACTACTACTACTACTACTACTACTACTACTGACTACTACTACACTACTACTACCACTACTACTACCACTACTACACTACTACTACTAACTACTACTACTAACTACCACTACTACTACACTACTACTACTACTACTACTAACTACTACTACTACTACTACTACTACTACTACTACTACCTACTACTAACTACTACTACGACTACTACTACCACTACTACTATACTACACTACTACTACACTACTACTACGAACTACTACTACTACTACTACTACCACTACTACTACACTACTACTACCACTACTACTACAACTACTACTACTACTACTACTACTACTACTACTACTACTACTATTACTACTACTACTACTACTACTAGCTACAATTACTATTATTTGAAGCAAAGCTCCCAAGTTCTTTGTGGTTCACTTTAGTACTGAAGGTCTGCCATCTACTTGTCTCTATAGAGATGATGTCTGGAATGTTCCACAGTATAACATTAAAGTTATCAACGGAGACATGCAGGTCAAGTTACAGGTCAGATCTGTGAAAAGGCAACCCCACACACAGTAAGAATTAATTGTAGCATCCAAAGAAGTCTTCTGTTTGTTTCACATTTGTTTCACGTGTCATCATTTGCCACTATTACAAAACTATAATTGAAATGGACAGAAGTTTGGCTTTTCTTTTAAGCTAACTCGATTTTACCCATATGTGCAGAATGACAGACAGCAGCTCTTAAATGTATCAACATGCAGACTGAGATCCAGATGCCCAGCTCATCCAAGCGTTCCCTAATCATACCAAAACATCACACCATGTGGATACACAGCTGAAACTCACCGTTTGTTTTGAGCAGATATATATTTAGTTCTTTTGAATAGACATGGCTACTTTCCAGAATCATCACCTCCAATATAATGACCAAGGATGCAGGTGGTCACAACGTTTTACTTATTATTATTACAAGGAATATTTTACTTTTTGTTTTGACTTTAGCCCACAAATCAAAGTGCATTATGAAACCTTTATGAATGAAAGTCAATCTGTGTATCATTCATTCATTTGTTTTTCAAAATAAAACCAAAAACAACAATTTTCTTCATTATTTGTCTCTAAATCCAAAATGAAAAACAGATAATGATTTGTTTTTTTCAGTTTTTGATTCTGTGTTTACATGAATGATGGAAAAAACAGATAACGACCATTTCCCGTTTCTGTGATTTAAACTGCGATGCCGGACTTTTGCGCCGCATATGGATTGAACCAGGACTGAACCAGAATTAAACCAGGACTAAACCAGGACTAAACTAGGACTAAACCAGAATTAAACTAGGACTAAACCAAGACTAAAACAGGACTAAAACAGGTCTAAAATAGGACTAAACCAGGATTAAACCAGGTCTAAACCAGGACTAAACTAGGACTACACCAGGACTAAAACAGGTCTAAACCAGGACTAAAACAGGTCTAAAATAGGACTAAACCAGGACTACACCAGGACTAAAACAGGTCTAAACCAGGACTAAACTAGAACTGAACCAGGACTGAATTAGGACTAAACCAGGTCTAAACCAGGACTAAACCAGGACTAAAACAGGACTAAACCAGGTCTAAACCAGGTCTAAACCAGGTTATCTAAACCATTTATTTATTTTATTTTTATTTTCTTCATTATTCACACTAAATCAAAAACTGAAAAAACAAATAGTTATCCTTTTTTTCATTTTGGTTTTGGAGATAAATAATGAAGAAAATTGTTGTTTGTTTCATTTTCTTATTTTTGGTTTTATTTTGAAAAACTAATGAACGACAAGCCTGCCACCAGCTTTCTCCATGGACATGTCATGATTACCACATGCTCGAAAATGTTCCACAGTATGGCATATTTCATTACCAGAGGTTGGCGGTGCGATTCCAGCTCCCCCAGATGACCGCTGTTGTTCTGCCCTCAGGAAAGACACTTCATCCGCCCTCAGTGTCCGCGTGCGCTGTTGTGTGAATGGCCGAGTGTTTCCTTGACGTAAAGAGCTTTAAGTGCCTTGAAAGTGGAAAAGCGCTCTATAAAAACGCGACCATTTAGACCGATAATTTAAATGCAATACTGTGGAAAATTTCTGCCGAAGCAATAACATCGCCACGGAGACGAGCATTTGGCAAACGCTCCACGAGAAAAGTTAGATAGTGCAACTTTTGATAATAACTTAATGTGCATACACGTTGTTGGCTTTAATATATTCAGCTGAGTTATTTTTGCAGATCATAGCATGCTAACAGTCTGAAGCAGCGGGGGCATAATTAGTGATAGGGTTTGGACATGTCGTACTGTGTTAGAATGCCTTCTTTTCATGCATTGTCTCCTCTTCACGCTCAGTTGTAAGATTCAGCTGTACTCGCTGTCCCTCGTATATAGTGAGAACATAAAATACAGCTTAAATATATTTGAATTAGAATGGCTGAAAGGAGATCGCTTGGTTTTGGAATTGAGCAATGTCTGAAAATCCAGCTACAGATACTCTTAAGGTTGTTCTTTGCTTAGAATTATGATTACACAACTGGTTTTCATTTACAGTCAAATCTTGATTAGTTGCTACTTAGAATTGTATTAATTTGCTCTGTTGACATGCACGCCAAAATCTGGGCTTTATCTGGAGGTATCAGATTATTGAAATGTCATGTAGTTACAGCTGATGTGAGAAACCGTAGCCCTGTGCAAATTGTGTAAAAAGGGCAAAGTAATATGACAAAGATAAAAATGAAAGCGAAAACGTTCAAAAAATTCATAGTACTTTGTCGTTCAAACACACTGGATCCACAGATTAATGGAGACTAAAGGTATTTTTGATGAGCAGATTTCTTAGTATGGGTTATCTGATTTCTAGTTACAGATTTTTTTTTCTGGGATACTGTCCATGAAAATGTACTCAGAATTTGTTTCATTTTTTTCAAACTCAGACTTATATAAAATTAAAAAGAGCTAATATTTAGACGTTTTTAGTGAATGGGCTATTGATCTTAAATCTTCTGCACAGGCCGATATTTTGTTTTGGTCGAGCTGCTGTCTAAAAAATACACACTACGCTTTATTTTAACACTTTAATATGAAGAGATAACTGCACAAAATGTGACTATACAGCTCTCTTAAAGGTATGTGGTAAAAATAAGAGCTATCTTCTTGTAGAAAACTGCCATTTGCTTCCAGCGTTGCTTCATTGTTCCTACTACTACTACCATCATCACAACTACCACCTACTACTATCACCAATACTACTACTACTCCTACTACTACGTAAAAAGGAAGATATTTGGACTTTTTAGTGAATGGGTTATCAGCCTTAAATCTCCAGCACAGGCCAATATTTTGTTTTGGTCGATCTGCTGCCTAAAAAATACACACAAAGCTGTATTTTAACACTTTAAAATGAAGAGATAATTGCACAAAATGTGACTACACAGCTCTTTTCAAGGTATGTGGTAAAAAAAGTCTTAACATTTTGTAGAAAACTGCCATTTTCTTCCATTTTCATTTGCTTTACTGTTCCTTTCTTGAACTGCAGACCAAGAAATACTACTACTACTACTCACCACTTACTACTATCTACTACTACAACCTGCTACTGCCGACTCCTACTACTTGATTTTTCTGGGATGTAGTCTTGCTGTATACAATTTATTTATTTATTTTCAAACTCCCATCCCTGGCTGGACTTATCTCAAATTAAAAAGAGCCGATATTTGGACTTTTTTAGTTAATGGGCTATCGGCCTTAAATCTCCAGCACAGGCCGATATTTTGTTTTGGTCAATA